ACAAAAGAGAGAAGAGTGTCTTATGCCCCTTCCATTAAAGAGAACGATGGTCCCAAGTTAGGGACCTGAGTTATAAATCCTTAAGAGAAAATAGGCAGACAAGGTTCTTTGTGTAAATTTGATATATTTTTTTTTAGACCAACTAATAGTTAGAAAAAAAATTCTTTACAAGCTTCTGGCACAAGCACCGTACTTCAGACATGGGAAGAGTCTGATGGTGTTTGTGTGTATTATCTCAGATCGGATTAAAGCCTAAACCAATATGCAAAATGTAGGTTTGTAAAAATGCAAATGCATGACAGGAAAGATCAGAGGGGATAGGAGTTAATGGGTATGAGACAGGTTATGTGATTTTTTTTTTTTTTTTTTTTTTTTTTTTTTTTTTTTCCCCTAAATTTTTTAGAGAGAATTTTAGGGGCCTCTGTATCCAGTAGATTTATGAAGTGAAGTTCGTAGGCTCATCTATGAAATGTGGTTTGTAAATTCTGTTTGAGTATTAGAACTGAGAGATTGGAGAGAGAGTGGTTGTCTTGTGAGAAATGTGCATCCATTGGTAATTGAGTATTTTTGTCTTTGATAGATTTTTGGTGTCTATTCATTCTGGTATGCACTTGTTGTTTGGTTTCTCCTATGTAGTTTCCATCAGAGCATTCAGTGCATTGGATGAGAGATATTACATTTCTGGAGGTTCAGGTGAAAGATCCAGGAATGGTGATGGTTCTGTTATGGGGCATAGTTATTATGAGAGTGGTGATATGTTGGCAGGTTTTACATTTCTTGTCCCTTGTCAGCACATTACAGGATAGGGCTGTGGGGCCCAACAGCCCTGTGCCCTGTGAGACTGAGCTGTGAGGGCGCAGACTCACGTAAACCTAGCACTCAGCGAAGGTCACCCAATTGTCGCCTGACATGTCTTGGTGTCAAATATCTTCTTTTTCAGGAGGTGGTCTTTTTCATTATGTGCAGTTGTGGATTTGCTGGTCTGGTTCTTCTCTGGGGTTCCTTCCTCCCCTATACCCTGTCCTAGCACCACCCTGTTGTTACAGTATATGTTGTGTCCTTGGCTCTCAGTGGGCGATCTCCTGCTCTTCCTTGCTCTTGTGTGCTGGCATTCATCCCAAGCCTGATTTAAGGAAGCAGTGGCCAGGCTGCTCCATGATTTGTTCAGTTGTGGCTTGATAAATGAGAGGAAAATGAAGGACAACACAAAACAGGAAAACAGAACTTGGGTAAGTCTCGGTTCCTATGTTGGTTGTGACTGCAGGCTGCAGCTACTACCTGCAGGGTAAGTTAGTCCTCAGGGCTGCTGGCCAGTCCTCAGCGTCTGGTCCTCATGCATAAAAGAAATACAAACAGAAATATTTGAGCATTCCCTGGCCCCTTTCGCATACAGCTTAGGCCCTCCTTAGTCTTGGACACTTTGGTGTCTGTCATCAAGGCTTGTGTGGCATCTGCCAGTTCCCCAGGTGTGGCAGGCCAGCCTGCCTGCTCTCATCAGCTTGCCTCTTTATGAGCAGAGGGTCAGTTTGCTTACCAACATGCCACCGGCACAAGGTTGGGGCCGGCTCTTCCTTTTCCCCTTCCTTCAGGTGGAAATAGTTCCGCCTCCCCAGCTCCATGCCGAACAGAAACAAAACAAAAGTAACTGAAATAGAAATAACATGTTTGGGAGTGTTGCTGGCTCCTGCAGCTGCCTGTCCTCCCAACATGTCTCCTCGCCAGCTCTCCTCACAATTCCTGCTGCTCTGGTCTCTGTGGTAGCGTTTAAATGATCACAGCTTGTCCGGGCTCTTAAGGGGAGCCTGTCCAGGCTCATTTGTGATATTGCTTCCCTCTCTTCAGTTTCCCCACTGGCACCTTAGCATTTCCAGAGCTGCTCTGTTGCCCAGTGTCCATCCTCTCTCCCTTCTGGCCCTGGTGGTGGGCCAGAAATACCCAGGGCCAATCCTGATGGAGCAGCTGCTGATAAAGCAGGGTTCCTGTGGTAGCTGTGGATCCCTTGTTGTTAGTTCCGGCTGGGTTAGTAAGTATTCTTCCTCCCTCTCTGTGGGCTCGGAAGAATTTCCTCTCACTTTGCATCCTGGCATAGTCTGGATCCATTCACTGTGCTTTGGAACATAGGAAGCTTTCTTCTGGTGATGAGTTTGGCAAGGTTTGGTGCCTGTTTAAAAGCTAAAATGAGTGGATCTGGAAAGATCTATTTAAGAATTGGGTCTTCTTCAGGAAGGGGGGCAACTAAGGATTTTCCATATGGGTTCCAGGGAAGGGTGATATGTCATAACTAATGGTGTGCAATTCGAGGAGGTTTTCTTTTTGTACTGCAGGAATTCTTCACGTGGCTCTTTCAAAAGTGCGATCATCTCTGGAGGAGTGTCCTTGTTGAGTGAAAGTCCTTTTGAGAATGGGGAGGTTACGACTGCAGGTGTTCTCAGTGCAAATTTGGTAGTGTTGGGCAGCTTTCTTGGTGTGTTTAGAGTGATTACTGGCTCTGTGTAAATGCGTATGTTGGTCCATGGGTTTCTTGTATATGGTAGTTTGTATTTTACCATTCTGGATTCTGACCATGGTGACTAAAAAGGAAATGTGCTTGGGATGGAGGCTGCCCGCTGTACCATTAACACAGGTTCAGGGGGACTGGGGCCCCATGGGGCCTCCACTGGGCTGTGCCCAGTGGTGGGAGACCGCCCCCGCCTCCCCCCCGGCACCCCTGGGATGACCAGGGGTGCAGGAGGGTTGAGCGGCCCCTTGTGTGCATGTGGGATCTGGGTTGCAATCCTGGCTGTGTGCATGCCCCTTATCCCCTGCTGCAGCTGCCCAGACCCCCCGGCCTGGCTTCCCTGTGTCCCTAGCACTCCCCACACCGCCAATTCTCTGTAGCCCTCCATAGCCACCCCTCCTAGCACTGCTGCCAGCCCTGAACAGGTAGCGGCAGCTGAGCCTGCCCCGCCTGCAGCATGATCTCTTCCCCCCCCTCTCTCCCCCAGGAAGAGGCTGGCACTGCTGCTCTCCATGGAAACCCTGGCTCTGCACTATTATAGTGTGGGTGGTGCTGGGGTCTCCATGGAAACCGACACCAGCCATGTAGTCAGGGGCTGCTGGGAAATGGAGTCCATTGCTGGCTGGATCTGGCCCATGGGTCAGACTTTGCCCACCCCTGAAATAGATCCTTGCCTTTTTTTTTATGTTGCCATACTGCTTATGTCTCCAGAGGAAGGCTGAGAAGAATAAACCTTGAAGCAGCAGGGGTTTTGCTTGACTTAAGAATGAGGCATCTCCAAAGGGAAGAAATCAAACTTCTTTGAACTGTGGGAAAAAAACTGCTTTACTGTCTATATTATTTTCAGAGATGATCAAATAAGTGGTCCTGATAGTGGGAAAAAACTTGGGATATCCTGCCTTATTTGTTAGCATGCATGGATTCCCATGCATGCTAGTTAGTGAAGAAAAGGTAGAAACTCCCCTTTTCCTCAGCTATAAAGTGTAACTCTGTGATGATTGTTTTAACTCCTTTGTGACATCGCACATTTGAAAGACAACATCTGAAAACAAAACAGGTCTGTGTAAGCCTTGTGCCAGGCACTGGATGGATAACAAAGGCCAGGTTCAGATTCAAGCATTTTACACAAGCTTTCTATTTTGACTCAAGCCCCCACCCAGAAACCTGGGAAAATTAAATGATAATTGGATGTTCCAAGGTGACCTATCTTCTGCACTCACAAGCAACAGTCAACTATAATAGGATTTATTAAAGGGAAAAGGGGACAAACACAGTCCTAAAGAAAACCTTATCTGCTAATAGCTGAAATGACAAACAACTAACAGTGTATCACAGACAAAATCAGGGGAGCTACTACTTAGCCTAGTCTCTTGGAAAAAGAAAGTCATCCAGGACTGCTGTCAGAGGCTTTACTACCTATGCCAGCGAAAAGTGGCAAGTGCTGGGTAGGAAGGCCCAGCACAAAGAACTCTGCCATTCCTCACCATCAAGTTGCTACTCTACTCTAAATACTTCAGCACCAGCCCCAGCTAAAGTAGCAAAGGAGGGTCTTACTCAAATTTGCCACTGCTCCACCATAGGGTACTGTGTTCCTAACCACCATGAGGGGTTTGTTATTCTTCACTGCTGGTGCAGGTCACAAATGTTCCATTGCTGGGGATCATTGCTCCTCTTTTGTTTGCTTATGTAATCTTATCTCTTTTAGATGCTGACCTGCCCAACAGCAAACTTCACAATTTTGGAAGAGAGGGACTGTGGACACAAAGGTTGCTTGCAGATGTTAAACAAAAAGGAAAAAAAAATGCTTAACCGGAAGAAGTAGCGTGTTACTTTGACCCGGCTCCACAGTGTCTGTATAGATTGGATGCTGCAGCGGGGCTTTTTTGCTGTCTTATCTAATAGCTGATTCATTTAGCTATTAGATAAGAGAGCCAAAAAAAGCCCTGCTAAAGCATCTAATCTATACAGACATTGAGTGACCCAGGTCTAACTAACATGATGCTTTTTCTGGGTGTGCTCTGGGCTCAGCTCAGGAGTGCTCTGAGTTTAAAGTGCCATTTTTTTTAAACATCTGCAAGCAGACAAAGATCTGATCCATCTAGGCCTTTAGTTACACACTTTATCTACAAACAGTGAAAATAAGTACAAGTAGCTCCTGACTCTCCACACATACATACTAATAAAGGTATGCAGCAAAGGAATACATAAAATTACCATAGCAGAACATGCATGACGTAAGTAGGGTTATACTTGTATCGCTCACTACTGTTCTACACAGAAATAAATGATACAATTGAAATTAAAAAATGCAAGCAGTGCTAGGCAAAGAGGAGCCAAATGGAAATTTCCCATCCTAGCTAGATGCATTTTCCCTATGTTTTGTTTTTGTTTGTTTGTTTTTTTTTTGCTGTGCAGAGCTTTAGTGTCTCAAACTATTCAGCTTTTTTAATAATAAGATGTGTACACACAAAAATCTAAGGATAACACTTCTATATGTCCTTTCTTTGCACTGTGGAATTACTTCAGTGTAAGTAAATGTAGTCCTCTTCTCTTTCTACAACATCTTCTTCATGCTCATATTCTACTTCATGCTCATTGCGCGCTTCTTCATACTCATCTGGTGTTAAAAATCTTTGGAACACTGGAGTCCTGAGCTGCGTTGATTGGCTGACAGTACCTTTCTGTTCACCATAATAAATAATGCGTATGTGAGGAAAACAGAAGAATGCGTATGTGCTTATTGGAGCTGTAAGCTTGTTTTGATCCATCCGAATGTAGGTTAACTGATTGGTGTTCACTGGATCAATAAAAGGACACATCAAAGTAATGTTTACAACTGGAAAAAGAGTAAAAAAAATATTAGTTAAAACATTGAATATATTAACTGAGCTCTTTTTTTACATGCTTTGAATTTTCAAAACTGAGAAAAGGACTAGTACCCCTCTTACACAACTGGTATACTGTATTGCTGTCATCCTACCCTTTGAATTAAGTTAGAGTTCCATGTAGGGAGAAATGGTACAATCATTACAATATATACTTAACAAGTTGAAGGGATAAAAGTATCAAATCAAGTTTTTGCTAGCTTACAAAAGGTACGTATCTGCAGCTTGCTTTCCAGTTTCATAACTGTTAGGGGGCTGGAAGGGACCTTAGAGATCATTGGGTCCAGCCCCCCTACACTTGGGCTGATTTAACAAGTCAGAGCATTTCCTGGGTAGCCTGCCATGATGGAACTACTCTTGGGCTTTACATACAGATAATATTTGCTCAGATCAAATGAGAACACTGTAGTAAACAGAAGAGACAGCAAAGCAAACACTTCCTTGCATCAGCAAGATTGAATACAGTGTAGTCCTGTACAACTGGATTCAGTGATAAAAAGAAAATGATACAATAATGCAACAGCGATGGTGCCAAAAATGTTCTAGAAAAAGAAATGCTTCTTTTTATTATTAGAGTAATAATCAACATACTTTCAATGTCATTGTCTTCAATGTATAAATGTTGCAGACTTCTAGGAATGTAGAATGTTTGCTTCAGTTTGTTGTGTCCAAGATTGAGTTCTACAAGGTTGGAAAGGTTAAAAACTTTATATGGGACTTCTTGCAGGTTATTGTTTGACAGTCTTAGAGCAGTGATATTTGGAAGTTTATTGAAATAGTTTTCTGGAATGTAAGAAATTGAATTATTTTCAAGTGAAAGATACATAAGTGAAGATGGTAGATCAGGAGGCATGTTCTGTAATCTGTTGTTGCATAGGTTGATCTGCATTAGATTTTTCATATTTGACAATTGTTTTCCTTTAAAATCAGAGTCATCCAGATTGTTGTTGCAGAGATCAAGCATAGTTACATTTACTAATCCTTGTAAAGCATTTGCAGGTAATCTGGAAATTTTATTGAAACCAAGGAGAAGTTGCTCTAAAGAGTTGGGAAGTGGAAATGGAAATTCCTCCAATTCATTGTGCTGCAAGTGAAGCTGAACTAAATTTCCAAGTTTGGCAAAAACACCATAGTCAATCATATAAGAATTAATTTTGTTGTGGCTGAGATTAATTTCTCTCAAGATAGTAACATTAGCAAATGACTGTGAACTCACAGCTTCAATATTGTTATACTGAAGATAGAGTTGTTGGATATGGATGGGAATAGCTGGTATCATCTTAAGTTTCCGATGATCACAGTACATTGACAATGGAAATGCTGTCAGGCAAAAACATTCTTTGGCACATCTAAGCGGACCAGAAAAGTGAGAAACTTCATAATCTACACTAGGATTAATATGAAAGAGAGATGGCTGTTCATCTGGTTCTGGGTCATATTCATCCTCAAAATCATAATCTTCATGCTGACAAAAGACCATAGCAACAAAGAGAAGGGGCATAATTGATAGTTGACTTAGAAACCCCATATTCAGGTTTGCATACAAAACCCTGTTAAGAAGAAAGAGAAAAAATTATAAATGGATTAAATCAAATTGAAATTGTAATTAGAAAGAAAATCAATATAACTTGTTAAATAATAAAGAAATATCATTTTTGCTGAGAACTTTAACATATACAATTTAGATTAAAAAATCATTCTTTTTTGATTTTTGCTTTTCAGGTTACCTCCATCTTAACAGATACATTAATAAGTGAATGTTGTCTGAAGGTCTTGGAACATGCTTCAGTCTTTTTCATATTTGTTTTTGGTCTGAGGCCCAAATCTAGTGCCTATGTTATATGCTAATATGTTCCATAATAACTGGGGAGGTGGTGCGAATAAGAGCTTAATTCTCTTTTTCTCCACTCTACACATTGCAGAGGTAGAAGGGGGACCCTTTAGGCTAAGTACAGACAGTCAAAAAGCCTGAGGCTGAATTGATTCAATCTTTGCAGGTTAGTCTGAATTGTGTAGATTGAACCAATAAGCAAGTGAATAGACATTCATTTTTGATTCTGGAATTGCAGACAGAAGCCTGCAGTGACCCATGTCAAAAGTCAGGGGGTGCTAAAGCATACCTTCCTGCTCAGCTGGCTTGCCCACCCTGGAAGGGGGAGGGGCGCAGGGAAGCTGCAAAGCATCCTGGGATGCTGGGGGACTGAGTTAACTTGAATCTGGAGGGGATCTGGGACAGAAGTTCAATAGCCTGATTTAACCTAAATCTGTTAAATCTCATACTACATCCATCCAGGTTTATCTTAAACCAGTTTCGGCCATTTTGGCCAATATATCCTTAGCTATTAATTATTCAAGACAGCCATAGCCTCTCACTTATTCTCTTCAAGGGTGACAAATGCAAATTTTTGGCAAGATACCTTACAGGTTTCTTTCTTCTAAGTATGAACTTCTTTCTCAGGCTTAACCCTTACCAAGGATGCACCTCAGCTCATGTATGCATGATACCCTCTTGTCTAATCAATATGCATAGCTATTTTAAATGCAAATTCTCAGAAATTACCTTCTTTCCATCAAGGCCATGTTCTTCATAAGTGTGAACAGCTATTGATTGGTCTTGTTTAAGTTTCATTTACTGACCAATTATTTCTAATCACATTATGAACATATGAACATGCTTTCACATTAAATCCCATAGAAGATACAAACATAAAAGTGATAAAATCAACATAGCTTAACATAAGATACAGAGAGAGATCAAGTACAGCTTTAGTAACTCTGATTTTGGAAATTATCTGTACACAGTACCCTGCAAACCCTCAAAACAGCCCTGATTTTGTATGAGTTAATGAGTTCTATAAATCATTAAGGAGATAAAAAGGCAATGTCTTGTGTGTGTGTGTGTGTGTGTGTGTGTGTACATGCACATGTGCGTGCACACGCATCATCATTTTGGTTGCTTTTAGCTGGCCGTTGACTTTTTTTTTTTTTTTAATTGAGAAAAGTAACTTTGTACAGGCCAACAGACAGCCAAGACAGAGATGTAACTAGCAAGGTTTGCACCCTGACTAAAATTGTGCCAGAGGCAGAAGATGCTGCTAAGCAATGGAGGGAAGGAGGTGCTGAGCGTAGGGTGAGGGGAGGGCAAGAGTCTTAGCTGCTCAGTGTACCAAGCTCAGGGCTCTGCCCCCTGGAATCTGATGAGGCAGATCTGCCTTCTGTACTTCCCAGTTTCTGCAGTAATTTCCCATTTCCTGCTTGCCATTCCTTTGGTGTTAATTGGTCTGATGAATTTTGGGAGGCTGCCCCTGGAGGCTGGGGTATCCTTTTTAAGTACTTCCCTCTTAGCAAGACAAGGTTCTTTTGGGTAGATGTAATATCTTGTATTAGACCAACTAAATAGTTGGAAAAATGTTCTTTGCAAGTTTTCAGGCACAAATACCCTTCTTCTAGCACAGGGCTGGGCAATTATTTGGGGCGAAGGGCTGCTTACCCAGTTTTGGCAAGCTGTCAAGGGCCTCATGGTTAGCCCCACCCCTTGGCAGATGCCC